GTGTGAGTGATTTCAGTTTGCAGGTTCTATGTCCATGTCTTGATGGATTGTGGATCAAGCATTTAAGTTTAGGAAATTACTGTGTACATAGTGTACATAACAATCACTGGCTTGGGCCAGAGGAAACTAGTCAGCCATGGCCGAGGGTGTTGAAGATATATTCGGCCGGGGACCTTTGCTTGTAGACAAGTCTGGTGTTTTGAGAGTGATTTCCAAGCCCTACAACTGCACCTGCGGAATGGACACTCTATACTGTTACTGCGTATAGATGAACGCCCAGTGATGCCATCATAATGCCCGGTAAACTGTTTTCTTGTTTTGTGTTATTTTCCGTGTCATTTTGACACACTTCGCTCCTTTTCTGAGCGAAGTTCTTGTTTCTTCCTCATTGGCCTTCAGGCTACAACCGAGGGAACTTCATGTTTGACCAGAAGTTGCGCCAATGGTGTGGGCCCGTGGCGACTTCATGTTGTTTCTGCCTCCTCCCTATGCAGTGAAGTGGACCCTGTGAGGCGAGAGTATCAAGAGCAGAACATGCGGGTCAAGCAGTTCATGCTCTACCGCGAGGATGCGTCATGCGTCATGCCGATGTAGAGGTTTGAGGTCTGATGTATAGGATCAAGACAAAGCCGATGTATCAGGACAACGTTGCGCCCAGTAAAGCAGCTGATGCATTTCGTTCGGCATCCTGATGCACCATCTCAGGCATCTCTCTTGATATCTCAGGGCGAAAACCCAACATTAGCTCATGGCATCTCGAAATCAAACCGCTCCATACAGCTCCTGGCCCGGCGCCAACGGCCTTCAGGACATGCGGGACTTAACGGAACTGACGATCAGCAAGTGGGAAGCTTACCGATCCACGGCGGATCCCGACCCGCACCATCCACGACACGTCGGTGGCGACGGAATGCGACGGACGGACGAGACAGGGGACGAGACCGGACGCATGTTCCAGCCCACCCCGAGGATGGATAGCTATTTGATGATTGCAGTGCTAGAACTTGGATGCTGTCACTTGGCGCACGAAGAACCAGAGACGATGCTTGCTTCTCTCCGGCTGAGTTCGGAGATGCACACGAGCCAAGGTGCATGCCGGTATGTTTTTTTTGGCGTTAGTCCGCGTGCACGAACGGCACAAACTAGCAGCATTTAGCAGCATCCAGTGCAGACTTGCAGCAACATTTCGTTGTGTATGTTCTGCCTCCCTGTGACTAGCTCCATATTGAAAATGCGGTGGATGGAGCTACCAGCTCCCTTTGGGAAGATGTTGACGTTTTTGCGGGCAGACGATCAACTTTGCCACAGCATGTCAAAGTTTATACTTAAATAAATATATGTATATAATATATATATATATATATTATAGTCACTAATTACTGTTGGTACACACACATCCACACAAATTTGCAAGTGGAAGTTCGACCCACTTGGGAGAAAAAGCTGGTGGCCAATGCTGGGTCTGAGGTCTCGATCTGTTGGTGCATGGAGTGCTGCACATCCATTCAGTGCAAAGTGCCAGCGACCGCGTGACCGCGTGAGTGCGGAGTTGCAATCGCTTCAGCAAAAACCAAGCTGTATAGTTGGTTTCAAGATGCGTTGGTTTCAAGCACAGAACTTATACAGTTCACTTGGTTATACAGTTCACTTGGGTTTTTGTCTTGCTTTCAAACCCTTCAACAAGACCTCTGGTTACTCCTACTTCCCCGGGACGGGACGTGTATGTTTGTGGTGTGCCGTGACGTGGACGGCCGTGACGGGCTGCCAATCGATTCAAGCCAGGTGAACCGAGTTGGAATCTGTGGCTCTATGTGATCAGCCAGAGACTCACTGCACGGCGCGGGGGTTCGATCTTCGGACCATCGGATGCATGGCACCACCATGTGACACCCGGACGGCGGCATGTGGAGCGACCGGTGCGGAGAGGGAGGGAGGGAGGGAGGGAGGGAAGATCATAGCAAAGAAGCCGTCCGACCACAGAGGTCCTTTCGAATCTTTGGACCAAGTAAAACACTTGGTCCGATGGACCTGTAGGGCCTGTAGGGTTTCATGGAACCAATGCCCACCAAAGACGGACTTGGTAGCTGATTTGCTCGTGGGCCCGGTGCTAGGGCCCTTGGTCTAGAAGTTAGCGCCGGGCCAAGATACAGGACTGGATACCTGTTTTTTTCCCTAATGGCAAAGGCAGGTCGAAGGATGATTGTAACAAATGAAAGGTGGCAACAAAAATGAACACATGGAACATCAAATGAAACTCAAATGAACACATGTGACTGCTGTTTAGTCCCATCCAGTGAGTGGAGTGGATCATGGGCACCCAACTCCTACCTCCACGGATAGCACCCCGTCGAACGTGACTGCTGGTAGACAATCATGAAACATCACATGTACCTCCCAGACGCTCCATGGGACTGCCATAGGACTGCCGATCAGTTCTGGTGGTGCCAGAGGGGTCAATGTATATCCCTGAGAGTCAAAGACTATAAAAAGAATGGTCTTTAGGTGACCCGAAAAGGAATTTCCTTTACTTCAGTCGGTCAAAATATAGTCTTTGGACTTCTAGGGTATATGGCAGTCCCATGGAGCGTCTGGGGTAGGCCTGCTACTTCGCTTGCCGAACCCGGACCGGACCTTCGGCCAAGGCTTGGCGGAGGCGGCGTGGGCGATCCTCGCGCGCGGATCGCGGCGACCCAGAGTTGGTGAGTGGGGGTATGAGCCAGTCCGATTGATGAAGATCGCCGGGTCTGAAGAGGCTGAAGCAATCCATTCTGGTTGGTTGCTTCATCACATTCGTTCACACTGGTTCAAAACCGCCAGTCATGGCCGGAACAGTTCGGGTAGGGCGTCGCCTCGCTTCTGTTCGTGTGTTCAACGGGTTTTCACCCCAAAACAGACGTTCGAACATCGCCCTGCCCGCCGCTCGAACACCCCCCTGCTAACTGTTTGCAGCCTCACCATGCCTCACCCTCCCCTCCCTGTTTCATCAGCGAGGGCCAAACTCTTCGGAAGCGCCAGGCGTTTGTCTTCCTTTTTCTCAGCGCCTGGCTGGCGATTCATGCCTCCGTCGGAGAGCCCAAATTCAGAAGCCGAGGGAGGGCGCTGAATGGGGAGGGAATAGGTTCAAAAGCCGATGGCCTTCAGTTCACAGAAGAATGGATCGTTCTCTGGTGGTTCTTCGTTTTGTGTTTCTATCGACATATCGATACGGATCGTTTGAGTCTGCATGACCTTCTAAACGCACGTTCAGACCCCCCGCCACATCGTAGAAAGCTCTTGAGTCATTTGAGTCGGTGAATGTTAATTGGTCAATAGCTCACCTTCAACGGCCTGACATCCGTCACATGTTGCTGAGTTGCTGAGTTTCCTCAGGTGTCAGCGCACTCCTTCGAAGTGAGGCGTGTCAATGGGCTGATCCATCGATGTTTTCATCCAAAAGCAGCTGAGTTGTCTCATGTTGTCTCCGATTCGTTTTTCTCGGGTTTCAAGTGATCCAAGACTCAAGACGTCGGCCGATGCTGCACTGAGCGACGAAATGCGACCACTCTGACTCGCCCTCTGTGTGGGCTGAGATACATGCCTGGCCCTCTGTCTTGATCTAAAAGAACATGCACCCCCTGCAACTAACATGGAAGTGGGAATCCCATGGAATCCCCCTATTTGTAGAGGATTGAACATGGAAGACCCAAGGAACCATGCACTTTCCACTTCCACGTTCGGGAGTGGAAAGCCGCAGAGCAGCTCAGGATGCCGCAGGTGAAACCGACTGACAGGTCGCTCCACTGACAGGGTGCAGCTCCTCATAGGTCAGACTGCCTTTTTGTTCGACCTCATAGGGGGTTGTCGGAAGGAGGGAGGGAGTCATTCCCCCCTTCCGACCCCCCCCGGAACCGCACGATAGCATCCATGAATGGATCCATTCTGCCCTTGAATCAGCAACAGTCAGCTGGACATGCATGAGTTCTCCGGGGAGAACTCTCCTCAATGGATTAGTGATGGCTTTCATTCAATTTTGACCTCTGAAGCGAAGCACGTGCTCTGTGCACGAACATGCTGTAGATTGAGGGGATGAAGGCGTTCTCGCTTCGAGCAACGCTGGCTGATGCCATCTGATGTGAATGACTTGTACCTCGTATTGGACACGGTAGCAGCAACTAGGTTGACCATGTCCAGCAGTATCCAGCAGTCTTTTTAGTTCATTGACCTCCCTGATAGGCCAGGGTCCCCAGCTTTTTGCATGCTACCTGCAGTGTTTCCTTGTGATATGTCAGGTTGCTCACACAGTTTGTCCGTTTGCCGGTGCCTAGCAGTCAGTGTGAAGCTGAGCACACCGGATTCCTCCGGAGCTCGCGGATTCGTGTGGAGAGACGTGGGATGGCCGGTTAGTTGAAGGGTAGGCCGGTTAGGGTGACAAGGCCTACCCTTCAACTAACTGGCCGGTTAACTACCTAACTGGCCGCTTAGGTTGGTATGCCTTGTCCGGTTAGGATTGTTTAGATCATTTTTAGTAGAATTTTAGTACCCAGACGCTCCATGGGACTGCCATATATGCCGATCAGTTGGGGTCAATGTAGGCATATACGGCATACATGGAGCGTCTGGGGTATATTCTAGTTGGCCATAAGAACGCCTGTGCCGGCTGTGCACACGACTGAGGCATCTGACAGTCGGCATTCGATGTAGTTATATATTTCTCGAGCTTTTCGATGACCTCTAGGCAGCTTGATGCTGGCTCTGCTGCCGGCACGGATTATGAGAACTTGGGGATCGAGGACCGTGGCAAGCTGTCAACGTCATTTCAAGGCAAAATGATTTGGTTAAAGCCTGATTGATTGACAGTTTGCAATGTAGTGACATACATGTTCACCCACATTGGAGGCATGAGGGCACAAGAACCCTCCTCCACTGCCACGGCCACTTGAGCTCAAGCTTTTTTCAATAAGCGCCAAACGTGTGACCCGCGCGTTCGTTTCAAGCACTTGCTGAAATCTTTGCCGTCAGCAATGGCCAAGGATCAGGTTGATGATTCCATGCCCCTTGAGGAACGAGAAGCTACTGAGATGCAGCCTGTGATGATGGAGGAGGAGACCGCGTCCGTTGTGGACACTGAGCCACACCCGGACTCCATGGTCTCCGACTTAGAAAAGGAGTTGGAACAAGCCACCGGCAAATCTCAGGAAGGGGGGCGATGGATTCGGTGAGTCCATGCGGCTTGTCAAGCTGTCCACCACGGAAGTGAATGTCTTGCGACAATCCTTCGACATGCTCTTGCAAGCCTTGGGAAGCCCGGAAGAAGCGAAGCAGGTGATGCTTTATTTTATCTGTTTTCCCTATGGTTATATCATGTTATATAAATCCCCAAACCTGGGGAATATGGTTTCTTTCTTCCAGGTTCCTCGAACTCCCCCCCGCTCCCAGGAAATGACCGTGAAGCCGTGGGCGATGCCATCTACGGCACGAAGATCGGTGCATTGGTCGCGATTAAGGACAGCTTCACAACTCCGAGAGCGGTTGTGTCCTTGCGCTTCTTCAACTGTTTTCGGCTTTTGCTGGAAAAGGCAGAGGATACGGAGGAGATGAGGATCTACGTCGAGACTTTGGCCTTTAAGCACTTGAACACCGAGATCACCGAGCAGCGCGTGGAGGCGGTGATCGGGGCCTATCTGGAGCTGCTCACCATCAACGTGCCCAACCTGCCACCGGGAACGCCGGCCGCCTGGCGAAACCTCTTGAGCTACTGCGGCTCGTGCTACCGCTTTGTGGGAGACACCTATGGCGAGCGCTTGCGCGTCATCAAGGAAGATGTGGTGGTTTCGGATATTTATGTTCTAATGTTCCTTTATTTTCCGACCTTTTAAACTGTAATTAGGATGATTGACTTCACTGTCTAATAGTTTTCAAGTCAACCGGAGGAAGATTGGCAAGTGGTGCAGCAGGCGTCCAAGCACGAAAGTGAGAAGGCCTCCAACAACGGGGAGGAAGGTGAAGGCGGTGAAGGCGGTGAAGGCGGCGAGGAGGACACGAAAGACGACTCCGCCGAGACCTTCAGCTTTGGCCGCATGTGCGCCTTCAGTAACGAGGTCATGGGACAGAAGACTGAAGGCTGGATGCTGGAGCTTCTACAAGTCTTTGATATCCTGGTGGAGATGATTTCTAGCCCTGTCCACTTGCAAGAGGAGTGCGACTTGCTGGCGATCAACTTGATCACCAAGTCTTCCTCCATCGACTTCGAGAAGTTCAAACCGGTGATGTTGGCGGCCTTGCGATCTTTGCTTCCCAAGCAGTGGAGCACTTTGCACGAGACTGCCTGGGAGTGGCTCTGGATGACGGTGGCCCGGAATTTGAATGAGTCCACCATGAAGGTTCGTGCCTTTAAGCCCTACAATGGCAAGCTGTTCTCCCAATTGCGGGAGGATCAATTGGATCGATTTCGGTCAGACATCTTCACAGAGTTCTTCGCCCGGAGCCAAGCCTCACAAGATCTCTTCAAACAGTCGCAGAGCCGGCTGCGCTACATCGCCGATCGTGTCCTGCAGAGCTCCTATGACATGTTCCACAAGAACAAAGATGAGACGCTGGATGAACTTTCGGCTTTGGGTTTACGCCATGTAGGCTATGGCATCCCCATCGAGCTGTTTGGCCCCTTCGTGGATGTGTGCGTGAGCGTGATGCATCCCTTAATCCAAGAGTTTCCATGTGAAAATGAAAGCACCAAGTTGATTTGGTGCCCCAAGGACAAGGCACACCAGTTGCAAGAGAAGGAGATGCCGGAACACATGATGATTGAGGGCTTCCGATGGTCCATTGGTTTGACCGCCAGGGTTCTGGTGCGAACCATTATGGACGGCTCCACCGCTGTCATGCAAGCAATCCACTTCGACGACTCCAAGCGCTTGCGGCGAGCGCTGTTGGATGCACCACGCGTGGAGCGCTTCGTGTGGCAACTGTCCGTGCAAGTGGGGAGCCAATCCATCTCTCCCCTCTTTTGGGCTTCCTGGTCCTGGTTCTTGAATTTTGAGGTGATTTTTTGTTTGATGCCCAGTTCATTGGGTGAATCCATGTGAATCCATATGCTGAGTCCCAACCGAGGAGTCCGAGGTTTTGATTCGGAGCCGCGTCGAAAACGAACGGGAACCGCCCTCCCAAGGCTTTGAAGAGCGGTGCTCACGACACAGCCAAGACCATGATCCAAGACGTGCTGACCATCCGAGCCGATCGGGATCACTACTACTTTGGTGCGGATGAGCCCTGGCGCATTGCGCGGAGTTCTCTTCTTCATATGTTTATTTGTACTATATTTTAAACACGTATTTTCTCGAACTAGTGAACTCCCCTGGCATGAGGAATATGTGTTCTTTTTGTGTTCCAGGGCAGCTCAGCAAATCCAAGGAGCTCTTCAGGTTTCAGCCTAACATTGCGGACAACATCCTACGGGAGGCACCCTTCTTGGCCGAGACCTTGCTGGATGGGCTGATTTGGCGCTCCCACAAGAGCAAGGACAACTTGAGGCCGGTGATCTACTATTTGAAGCACTTGCTTCAAGACATGGATGAAGAGCAGATGTTGTCCCGAGCTTTGATCAGCTATATCCGCTTCAACCACCCCAAGACCATTATGCATCCGATCTTGACCTTCTCCTTGGACTTGCTTTGGGAGAAGTTGGCCAAGCGCTTCTTCTTGATGGACCGGGTGCTGACGATGATCAACTGCGTGATCTTTCTCTTGGCCGCATGCCTGTTGGACCACGACAACAGTCCGCAGGTGATTGAGTCATATTGAGAATGGTTTTTCATGTTTTCAACAATGTTTTTTTCCATTTACCAGATTTTACCGGTGGGTCTCCACATGGGGTCTCCATGGGGTCTCCATGGGCCATCATGGGGTTTTTTGATACGTTTTGATGGGGTCTCTTTCTGATTCTTTCTGTTTGAGCCGATTGCCAGGTCGTGGCGGGCTTCCGAGTTCTGGTCTATACCATTGGCTTTGGCCGATTGCTCTACTGGCACTGCTGCCAGTTCTACAACGGCTACCGCCACGGAGCTGTGACCAAGCTCGCCTGTTTCAAGTTCCCTTCCTACCTTTTCAGGACCTCTGACTTGCTGAGCTTCTGCTTGATGTGCGACCTTCTGGCTACCGCCACTGTGGAACCCATGTTCCACTGCCTTGGACAGACTGAGCATGTGATCGCATTCCACTGTGATCAATGGACCGATACCATGAACCTCCTCCATGAAATCTTTGTGCTCACAGGCGTCTTCCTGTATGTGATTTTAATCGTGGAGGTTGGAAGCATCTCGGTGAAGCTCTCCGAGTACCGCGTCTTGTGCATCCATGCCATCGAACAGGTCCTGCTTTGCTTTGGCGTGGTCTTGCTGACGATCTTGACCTTCTCCTTTGCGGTCAGCGGCATGACGCGCGAGATCCAGGCCATTTCCAACACCGAATGGGCCGACATCGGAGCGTCCATGAGCACCTTCATCCGCATGGCCTTTGGAGCCATGGACCTAGCTCCCATCCAGACGGTCGCAGCCGAGAGCCCGTTGCTGATCGTGGTGATCGTGCTTTTCATGATGTTGGTCTACACCTTCTTTTTCAATCTCCTGGTGTCGCAATTCTGTGGGGTGTACACTTCACTGGCGGCAGACATCAAAGGCCACGCTAGGCTTGCTCGCGGTGAGATCATCATCGAAACGTTCAAGAATGTGCGATTGTCACGGTGGCAAAGGTTCATGACTTCCCTGAACTTGGACAGCAAGGTAGACTTTGAGGAAGGTGAGCGGTCCAAAGCCTTGGCGTTCATATGGTGTTCATATGGTTATTAAAGTTCAACGTGTGCAATTATACGCAACAGTGATGAATCGTGTGTTTGCGTGAGCGACGCCTAAGAACTCGCTTACTTGGATCTTACTTACTTTATCTTTTTTTGCAGACTCCTTACAAGCCTTCGCTCCAACAAACATGACCTGAAACAAAAGAAGACCCCCATCAACAGAAACAAAAGAAGACCCCACCTCTTTGTGAGGTGACATCGGCTTGGCCGGGGGGCATCAAGGACTTCGAGCCGGCCTTAGCCCATCCAGTCTCAAAGGACCAGATCATCCGCTTTGGTGGGAGGACGGATCCGCACTTGCCTTGGCCCGAGAAGCTGGCCAGCGAAGCCGATTCCGTCGAGAGAGTGGTCCAACGAACGATCCAGAAATCCTTGCAGAAGTACCTTGGAAAGGGAAAGAATGGAGCTGGAAGTGCCTTGGGCACCCTAAGCAGCGATGACCAGAGCAGCAGCCACCACAGCAGTGACAACAAATGAGCTGAATCGAGCTGAGGAGTTTTTCACGCCCTGCGTTTTGGCATGTTTTGGATGCCCTGTCAACAATCCCGGTATCCCCCGTCGACACCATGAAACAGCATCATGCAGCCATGCTTTCAGCCTGAACGGATTTGCGACACCATATAGAGCCATATACAATATACACCATAAACAGAGACACCACCATCAACAGCACCATACAGCCTTGCTTTCACATGAACATTGGATTTGCGACGGGGGCTCTGCGGCTTCGTGTGATGTGATTTAATCGGTGTGACCGGTGGGCTGTGTTGGAAACACCGCCAAGAGGAGCCATCGAAGTTTTTATTCGCGAATCACTGCCCTTTTCAGAGATGGCCAAACTCAATGGACAGCCCAACGCACACCATAATTAAGTGAGAGTTGCACTCACTCTCCGTGGGGTGCGGGTTGAGTTCGCTGCCCCGATGCAGCTGAGCTCCCGAAGTCTTTTTTGCGCCCCCGGCGCTGAGAAACACTCTACCGAGTTGACTCCGCCGTCAGGTTGACGCAAAGCCAAGCAAGGATAGCCGATGATATAACCGATGATCAACATACAAAATCCAGAGCAGCTGCATGGATGAGACAGTTGAGCTACAGCTATGCTGAGCTATCTTTCAAAGGCTTTGCAACGCCACCTGAGTGCTAGTAGCCCAGCTGGTTTTCTTGGAGGTGCTCAGCAAATCAAAGCCTCCAGAAAGCTGGTGAGGTTACAATATTTGGCAACGGGTCAAGCAAACAAAGGAGCCCAAATGGATCCAAATGGTGTCATGTTGTTTTTATATATCGTATATAGTATATATATATATTGATAGCTGTTTTCTCTGGGTGTTGGAGTTTCTCTGGCTTGACTCAATGCCAAGTTTGAAGTGTCTCAACCCGTTCAGACTTTCGACCCTCACCGAAAGGTGATTTCTGGTCAAAACCTGGTACTCACAGTCTCCTGTAGTTGCTGAGGCTCGGATGTCCTTCTCACAGTCCCCCTAATCTGACACCATCGCAACTCGTGTTTTTTTCTTTTTGCCTTCTTGTGCAATTTTTGGAGAGTCTGCAGATTTGGACATCCGGCGATACCAAGCGCTGGCTGTGCTCAGCTCTCTCTACTTTGCCGCTCAAGCGTGGCTGGCGGCCGGGACCATAGGTCTGTTTCAAGGGCCGCTATGTAGCTGGAGTAAAGATGAGCAAAGCCTCGGCGTTTAGTACATTTCAAGAGATCAACAGCCAGGCAGACCGCATGAGGCTGTCGCTTGGCAATACATGGGCATTATTATCGCGCGTGAATTTTGGAACGAAGGAGACTTGTGTTGCAAGTGGCGTGGCCACCAGTGCAGGCTTCAAGTAAGCACCTTTGCCAGCCAGCGCTGCCCACGCTCCTATATACTATATACCACATGCCTACTTGATCCAAAAAGAACACTTGTAAGCATGCCAGCTTGACATGAGGGATTTCAGTAAAGCCTCTCGGACATTTTTTGATGACAATTTTGTAGGGGAAATCAGGAGGTTTCATCTCTGAGGACTCCGACGCGCCTCGTTCTCCCGGGCCCTTGCTCCCTCCTTTGTTGTCTATGTGTCTACGTTGGTGTTTGTCTCTTGTACCTGCCTGCCTGTTTGTCCGTCCGTCCAGCCGGATGGTCAAAGCTCTGGTGTGTTCAAGCTGGGAGTGGAAATGGATGAGAAAGGATGGACATGGATGGGACCAAAGCGAAGCCTGTTCTTTCTTCAACTTGTTGAGACAGCACAGGACCTCCTGCGCATCCCGGTTCTTCGACAACAAGCTGATCGAATGAGCGGTGCTCCCCAGGAATGAAGTGTCATCAGAAGGACCCAGGGATGGCAGTGGCAGGCAGGGACCTCCAGGTTCTCTCAGACGGCTGGGCCCGAGGCTTCCTGGCCCACCATGGATTTACAGCAGTAATAGCCTGAATCCCGAGCAACCAAGGATTTTACACTACAAAACCAGGTCAAACCGAACTCTTTCAATGGTCCAACGGAAGGCTATGGACCTGTGGTCCATTCGAAGGCACCACCTTCCAACCTTGGGGAAGGTCGGGGGTCGGGATGGATTGGGCTTTCGGTGGGATGCGCGGATCAGGTTGAAGACGTGGCTGTGGAATGCGATCAAAACCAGACCTTGCTTGAACTACCAGCCAGGTCAACCTACCAGCGAGCTGGGAGCGAACGACAAACCCATGATGAGACATGTTTTCATCCAGGATACCGGACTCTAGGACGAAAGAAATCCAGTGTCTGGTAGTTTCATGCGCCCAGCGAGCTCCTTTTTTTCGCCGAGGTGGCGCTTCCAGAGCTCGAAACCTGCTGACGGAGCCAGATCCGTCAGGCAGCTTCTCAGACTGCTTACGCCGACTGAAGTCGCTGACGTCATGTGAATCGTTCACACGAGGTCGTCAGACCTGATATGACCTGATTCTATGGTGCGATTGCCATCGACGACATATCAGCGTCTCCATTCAGCGTCTTCAGCGTCTTCGACCCTTTTGGGTCACGTCAGCAGGTGCGGCCGTGACGGGCTTGGTGGTGATGTCTCAACCGGGAGCCAATCAAGCAACTGTGTGGCAGCTCAGCATGTGGTGGGGGGAAGCTGGACTGCATCGATGTGTTGCTGTTGTTGTTGCTGTTGTCGTCGTCCACTGTGACGGGTCCAAAAAGGGGAGGAGCCAAGCTATTGCATAAAAGATGTGGTGCTCGTTGTGCTCATCTTTTGTGCAGACCGGCTCCCTAAGCTGCTCAACTGCCAGGTTCTTGGGAATTGACTTCATCACCCGCAAAACCATGCTAAACCCACTAATTGACCATCGCTAACCCAACCGTTGGCTGAAGAAAAAGGCCCTCGAGATCCACAATTACATGTGCCAGAGTTCCATTCATCTCCGCATGAGGCTCAGAAGCACGTGCGGCGCAGCTGCCATGTTAACGTCTAAAACGCGCAGCATCACACCATGTCGACGGCCGAGCTGTCAGGGTCTTTCGGGACCTGCAGAACAACTGGCAGGAGGGGTGTGCGGTGACGCCTGTGTGGGAAAGCGTGCGCCAAGAAGCTGGCGCAATGAAGATTAATCCTAACTGGAAAATACTGGAGATATTATTAATCTTTGAATTGCTTGTGCTAAGTGAAGCATTGCATGCGGGAGTGAGATGCACCTTTGGATGCATTCTTAGCATACGTCGTGAGCTACTGTGGCAGGCGCATGATGCTTACGCTCGGGCATGCCTAGCTTTGGGTGGCCTACCCAGAGTGGCGATCTGGTACACCCTCCGAAATCCCTCCATCACATGGATGAAAGTTGCGTGAACATCTAAACAGCTCGTCCTTTTTTCTTCATAACCCGTCATGTTTGTTTCTTGGCATTTGATTCGGGACATGAAGTCATAATACGAGATGTCACACATTATTTTTGCTTGTGGATTCCTGCACTTGCGTGGGATGGTTTCGCCTTTTTGTTGCAAGGCACCTACAAGCTGACCCATGCGTTGGCTTACTACACTGTCGGCCTGGGCCTTGAGCAGTGGGAACTATATAACTGTGGGGAGACTTCGCAAGAACTGCCCTGATAGCAAAGACATGCAAAGACATGTCTTCATCGTTTTGACCGAAACCCATTTGGCTGCAATGTTGCTGACTGAAGCCCTGCATCGTTGGGGGTAGAGAAAAGAACATGTTTGCACCATGCTCGATTCCGCTAGATTTAGATCGCTGGTTCGCTCAGGCTTTGCATAGAGTAGGAACATGCCAAAGCGATGCGTGAGGAGTGGACTTCCAGTGCTGGCACTGCTGGCTTGTTGGATGCATGTCCAACGTCCGGACATGGGCTGAGCCTTGTGGCACAGGGCCCTGCCGCATGGCGCGTGGCCCTGCATGGCGCGACGAGTGAACGGAGCCGCAAGCTACAGACTGCAAGGAGGTCCTGCTCAAGTACATCTCACAGAGTCGAGCAGATCATTGACGTTGACGAGGCAACTAGGGCTGAGAAGGTCTTGTTGGTTCAGATTGTGAAGCAGAATGCGGTCCCAGGCATTCTGGAAGGTTTTAACATGAATCTTGGCGATTGGAAGGGCCGGGCTGGCTTTTGTGGCACACATGTGCACTGGGGCACCCTTCTCTACACGGAGAGTGCCAAGATAGTTCGGATCGATCTAGTGTCAAACATCGTAAACTTCCAAGCGGATGCACGTATGAAGATGCACGAAGGATTGGAAGCCAATTTGAATTGGAAGCAAGTCGGCCCCCAGGCTTGGGTCACTCGTGATGTAACAGTGGATGACCTGTGGAAGTCTGCACGGCCTCAAGAGCAGTACATCTTCTGCGGCCCAATGAGCAACAACTGCCAAGATGTGGCCAATCGTGTTTTTGCACATGCGACAGGCACACCCTTTGAGAGAAACTATGACCCGGAGAAGTGGTTTGTCGCGTCGATGCGGACATTCAGTTCGTTCAGTCGATTCCAGGCACCAAACATCGGAATCTAGTTTCCACACCATGATCTGTGCACATCGCAACAGAACGCCCCCAGTAAGAGATTGGGGGGGGATTGTCTTCTTCTCAACAATAGTATATATATATATATAAATAATGGATCTCTGACTTTACACGGAAATTATGTGAAAGAATCAAAAGGCAAGTGAAATGAGCTGAAAGGGGCATGAAAAGACTTTGCTGTATTTTTGTGAAACCACAACATGGTGCAGTGAAACAGTAGCTGTGTCAATTGGTGGTTGTGGTTTATACTTCGTCCTTGTACCATTTTGGCTCAAGGATGAAGGCGCCGGTTCCCTTTGGTCATTTGAAGATCAGCGTTGTCTGAGATCCACAGGTGGAGATTAGCGTTGTCTGAGATCCACAGGTGGAGATCAGCGTTGGCTGAAGGGCCCGGCTTGTCGCCTTCGTTGATTGGTCCAGGTGATTTTCCGGGTTTGGTCCATGGCAAGACAGCTCCTGCCTACAGACGTTGAGTTGGCTGGCCTGCGCACGATTGATGATGTTCGGGATTGGGTAGGCTTGGCCGAGGTTCCCTGGCTGGCGATGTCAAATTGTTTGGGCGGAGTCGACAATCTCCGTGTCCTGGCGTCTTTGCCGGCCGCGACTTTGCAACCTGCCTTTGAGCGAGCGCGAATTCCAGCCACAGCCACGCTGCCAGAGCGGGTTCTTACGGCTGTGGAGATCATTCAGATTGGGTTGGTGTGGCGCATCTCGAGACAAGCCTATGCCTTACCTGACATTGATCCTCTACTGCCAGACCCTGCAACTGGCCCAAGGGCTGCAGCAGCAGCTTCAGCTTCGCCGGCTTCGATTCATACGACTGGCTCTCCAACCAAGCGTGTCAAGATGTCCGCTGCAGTCGACCAACTTGATGAGTCAGAAGTGGATTTGTTGGACGGCAGTGAGATTGAGCAGTCGTACAGAAATTTCAGGAAGGCAGTTGGAGCTGACCCTTTGGTTGATGCAGACCCCACAGTTGAGCAGATTACGGCCATGCATACAAAGGTGTTGAAACGGCATGAAGCCCCATACGCTGACTTTTCTGTTCTTACACCTTTTGGCCGCAGGACGCAAAAGCAAGCCAAGGCAAGGAATTTCGTTCTGCAGCAGGATGGTACTTGGAAGACAGTGGAGACTTGCGGAGATTCCTGGCCCTCCAACCTTCTTAGCGTGGAGTGCCTGTTGGAAGATCTACAGAACTGTTCTTCTCATGTTGAAGCACCCTGCAAATGCTACCACAAGGACACCTGCAACACCCATTGTTACGGTTGCTGCATTGGAGGAATACTACAATCGTATTGTGGAGCTGAACAACGAATTTCCAGAGGCCTGGCAGTTGATTTTGCAAGCTGAGGATCAGTGCAGGGGAGAGCAATTTGAGAGATTCCAACGGGAGCTGGTTAGGGCGAAGAATGAATTTGGATTTCGACCAGGCCAGACCTTGGGTTGGTGTCTTTCAATATGCAGCACGATGCCAAGAGTACTGGGACAGAGTCGTGATACGCCCCGCACAGACGTTTCTAGCCCGCGGAGGTGCGAGCAAGTCCATGACTAAGAAGGATGCTGAGGACACGAGTATTCTGAAGCTACTTTGCAAGCATTGCATCGACCTTGAGGTGAAGGGCAATCCAAGGCAGCACGTCGCAGGCAGAGGGACAAGATGAAGATCCAGCAGCTCCAGGCTGACCCTGGAGCAGCGAGGCTCGCCGATGCTCCATGGAGGAAGGGAGGTGCAGGTGGTTCGCAACCCAGCCAAGCGGACAACACACATCCTAGGCGGGCAGGGCGGGAGTTCCAGACAGATCGTGATGGTCGTCAAGTGTGTTTTGCATTCGCCACGGGAGCTGTTGGTGCTTGTTCGGAGTCATGGTGTCAGGGAAGATCGCATTGCTGTCAGTACTGTCTTGGGCCTCATCCCAATGCTCAGTGCCCGAAGGCCAGTGAGAAGGGTGCTGGGAAAGGGAAGGGGAAAGGCAGAGGTAAGTGACAGGAGGAGAAGCTCGTGGCCGTGACAGAGATGGCAGAGCTGCGAGCTAGTGCATGTGAGAATTTACAGACAGCGCAAGCAGAATTAGTGGTTATGTCGAGAAGATTCGGCCGTTTCATTTTGGCGAATTCTTTGCTGGATATGCTGGTTTCTCAGCAACAATGGAGGAGCTTGGAGGTGAGGCTGTTAAGGTGTCTCGTCCCTTAGATGGCTATGAGGGATGGGATATTATTTTGACAGATGAAGGGCTCTGAAGACTCTGCTCTTCTGGAGTTATGGTGCGCCTATATGCAGAACTATGACGGAACATGGTTCTCGGGGTCCTTCAGCAAGGTATTGGAGCAGTGTGCGTTGAGTGGATGGCAGATTCACTCACCTCCCTGGTTTCAGGACCATGACCAAATCAGATGGAACCTGATCGACATTCCACAGTCATTGCTCAAACAACTGCTACTTGACGGATGGCATCAGCACATTGGCCAGCTTCTGGCCCGACGCAAAGACTTTGCAGGACAACAGGGGCTTCATTGGAGGTTGTCCAAAGAGGAAACGTCGCTCACTGCCCTGCAGACAGCTCAACTGCATGCACTACGAGACGGTTCCTTTATGACGCGGGACTATCTGGGCAGATTTGACTTGCAGCGAGGCTTTCAATGTCAATTTTGCCCTGCCATGGACTCCATGCAGCACCGATGCTAGGAATGTCCCACCCATGCTGATCTTCGTGCTCTTCATGGGGCGGCTATAGAGATTTTTCGTACCTCTTCTCGCAACTTGGCTGAACATTTAATGCCCAGTCGCTTGATGACTTGGCCGGCTGCTAAACGTGCTCTCATGGACCTGCCAGACACCAGCCGACTTCTTTGTTGAGGCTGACCAGCATGAGCACTATGATCTCTTCTCCGATGGCACGAGTGACCTGCCACGAGATCCTGAGCAATGTTTCGGAGCCTGGAGTGTTGTTTCAGCTACACATGGAGGAGTGGTGAGCTCAGGTGTTTTGGTTGGGCTACAGCAATCCAACAACAGGGCAGAGCTCACTGCTGCATGGTCAGCGGTGCAATGGACGCTACTCCATCGAGTACATGTAACTCTGTGGACAGACAGCTCGATGGTAGCCTCAGGTTTCCAACGCATGTGGGTCGACTTCACCGACGTGCCTTCAGAAGAGCATGAGGACCTTTGGCTTCTCATTGCGGGAGGCCTTGCTCAGCTACCAGCTCAGACCTTCCGGGTATGCCATGTTGCCTCTCACGCTGACCCTGAGCAGGCCAGTTCTGAGGTTGATGCCTGGCTTGCACACTGGAACAATGTGGCTGATGTTCAGGCCAGGCGTGCACAGAGTCATCGGCCAGATACTTTCAAGCTGGTTTGGCGACGCTACCAACAAGAGCTTTTGGAAACTCGGCGACAGTTAGCCTTGCTTCGTGGCTTTCATCTCGCTCTAGCTGAAGACCGGCGCCGATGTGCGCAAGTCATGTCCTCGGATGAGGTTACCGAGGATCAAGCGGTTCGAGAACTGAGTGCTTCTGAGCGTAGGCCGGCGATCCAGTTCCTTGGCTCGATGGCCTCCCCATCACTTGGGCGGCCGAGTGGAGTCGCAAGAATTCGTTTGATTTTGGAGAGACGTTTTCTGCGCAGTGCATCATGTGGTTGCTCTCCCAACAAGCGGCAGCAGAAGAGTTTTTTGAAATCTCTTGGTTTGAGCTGGCCGCAGCTTTTTACTGTTGTGGTTTTTGTCACCCACACCTGTCCACCCATGCCAATCAATGGATTGAAGTTCTTGAGGGTCGTTTTTCGGAATCTAGCCTTACTGTTGCTCTTAGGATTCGTTACGCTAGGTCGCTTGTGCGTTTTTTAGCCCGACACTTCAGTTTGTCGGTGGTCTTTGTGAGTGGGATTGATTTACGTCGACTGAATGTGAACTATCCCTTGAGTGGCTTGGTGCTCGGACTTACTGATTCCACTTTGAGGCAAGTGGATCAGCTCCTTTTAGCTTTTACTGCCCGCCGGACTGTACGTACAGCCACAGACTTGGCCAGGCCATTCGTTCGATAGCTTTCGACTTACTTCAGACTTGGACCAGCTGCTCTGCTTCGCTGAGCACTGGAGCTTCGCAAGAGCGTCCGCGTGACAGATGAAGGGCTGCAGCAAGGGCTGGATTTGTGGGAAACGTTGGACCATGGACACATGGCGCCCCCTTGTCGAACCTACACTAGGGCAAGAAGGTCAGATGAGCACGGAGTGGTGAAGATTTTGAGATCTGATGAAAGCCCGAAGGTTGGGGCGACGCGGAGGCGGAGGAGGCGATAAGATTGTTGCTCGTATGATTCTGTTGGTATATTGAAGCTGACGGAAAGGGGAAGAACTTGGTCCATCGAGAACCCTTGGGATTCATTCATTTGGATGCTTAAGTGTATGGCCAAGCTCTTCCGTGTGCCGCATGCAGAGCTCATCTTGATGCACCAGTGTCCATACGGAGCTGTCGCAAGGAAGGCGACAGGCATTTTGACCACCAGCAGCTGGATGAAGAAGGTATGTGCCTTATGCCATGAGGTTGAGGCGCATTATCATTTGAAAGGTGGCTTGGTGGGCATGACCTGGTCCTATCTTGAGGACAAGCTAGTCTGGCGCACATCACTTGCTGCAGAGTATGCGTGTGGCCTCACAGTCGCGTGGACCAGGGCATTGCTGGAATGGTTGGACTCACAGGAAGGGCGTGAGTGGATGAAGGCCAGAAGCTATGTCAAGGTTGGGAGGTGGAAGAATACGCTGACGCTGGCCAAGACTGTGCCGCAGAAAAGAAAGGTCAATGAGCAGCCCCAGGTTGAGACAATAGCAGAAAGAAGAGAAAGGGAGAATGTCGAAGCCATTGGGGGTCTCAGGTTTGCGAAGCGGGCTGTGGCAAGGTCAACTTTGCTGCGCAATGTCGGGCAGAGGATAAGGACAGTGTTCGACGCGTGGATGACTGACAACTTGCTT